GTTCCTCGGAATTATCATTGCAAAAGCCTAGCTGACCAACAGCTAAGGCTACCGTGGTCGTGGCTCTGCCTGGGCGCCTCCTACTTGCAATCTTGTGTATGCGAGGCCACGACCATGGCCCCGTGGAAAACATGAGTGCGTGCAGTCACGCACCCCCTGTATCAAAATCACGAGATTCAGCCAATCATGTGGTCGCACAAGCTGATCTACTCCTGTTTCTCTTCCTGCTTCACCACCTTGTTGAAGTGACGTTTTGCCTGTCGCACCTGAAGGTGTATGAGCATAGTCAGGATTGCAGTTGCACGTATAGCCATCAAGAATGTACAGCAGCCATCACGCATCAATCCAGATTGCCAGCATTAAATTACCAGGGATCCCTCTTAAGCCCCTAGGTAATTATAAACCCCACATGGGCAAACTGTCAAGGAATGCTGACTGGCCACCTTGGCTTCGGAGGACGCGACCTTCGTACACCTGTGCCGCGGATTGGGTGGCCCAGATTTCAAAGTGGGGTTGCCAACTTCCAGCAATATTGTATCCTTGATTAAGACCTGGACGTAAAGGTGCTCTTGTTCATGAGAATCTCTGATTCCTGGGCCCACCTGGATGCGCATAGAGATTACAGAACCATATGGGAGCGGGCAAATCAACCTATGAGGGGGGCCTATGTCGAGAATATAATCGAATGTATATGGATAGAAGTATATTTTCCCATACATATTCTTATAGATTTGCCCGCTCCCTTCCTATATAATGCGGGGTCGCATGCTGGAATAGGGGATTCGGGGGACTTAGCGTACCCATATACGAGCTGTCCCACAAACTTGAAGCCTGACCCGCCCCAAGGATTCAACTAATGCAACCCTGCCTGAAGCTGAATACAAACCCCAAGATGCAAGAAGCTTGTTCTTGATTTCCCCGTGTAAGCGTAAGTATTATAACTCTATGCACTTTTCACCCCAGCCCAGCTAATAACTGCAAGCTCCCATTATAAGCGTATCGCCAGCCCCACGAATACTCATATGTGCAAACCTACGATGGCTACGTTTGGGGTAGTATTGCTTGGAAGATCAGAAATCCTTAGCAATCATGGTTTCCTATAGGGTTTGTATATTTATATGGGTTTTATTTGGATATATGAGATTTCACCAGGTGCCCCCAAACAAGCTATATAGTGTTGGGTTCGGACTTGTAAATGGCGTTGTCTTAGAACGAAATTCTGCTTATAAACGGAATAACAAACTTGGGTACGTATTAGAGCGAATTATTTCGTCTCAACAGAGTAATAACAAGACTGCAGCGGAATCATTTCAGGCTCTGCTCTAGAAACCTTAAAGAGAAAAGCAAGCGCACAAGGAACTGAAGGTTGTAGGCTTCCAGAAAACTTCGATTACTTGCAAAACCGCTTATTCGAACAATCTATAGGCAATCAATCCTGCTGAGGGTTAGTATACAGAGACTGCCAGAACGGAATAATGGCCATCAGAATGATCAGGTGTCTGAAAATAACCTAAATACATTAGCAAATATATAGGCCTGCAGAGATGTATGTTCTTCTCAGCACAGAAGACACTTTTCTTTTCCATGGTTTATATACTTCCTAAACAAGTTTCTCCAAATGTGTTTGGGCGACCCTGGAATATAGAGTGCCTTACTTGTTTGGAGGGGAGGGGGTTATTAGTCGAAATCCCCCATTATAGTCGGATTAGTTGTATACCTGGCCTAATTGAAGGGGTGTCTTGAAACCATGTAAATAGGGACTTCGTATGAGGCCTGCGGACGTCCGAGTGGCTTTGCATCGAACTTCATCTGCTCGCCACGCGCCAGCATATCCGTCAGGGTGTTGTAGACTTCATCCAAGACTTCCAGGTCTCGCTCGAGGGCTTTGGCACTCCTTATTAAGACAGGATGGTGCGCTGGATTAGAATAATCTGTACTACATATAGATTTAAGACAGGGATCTTCGTCGCCATGTCGTCGTCGTAATTCTTCCCAAGGTCTTTCAGAAGAGAGCGGATCTTTGTGGACTTGTTCAATGTAGCAGCCATGAATTTTGAGAAGGTCTCTCGCGCACCATTCGCCTAGCCCATACGCAGGCCCTTGCACATGTTAAGTCTTGGTGCACAACGCGCCTCGGTAGCTGCAAGAACGTCAGTGCTGGACGAGGCTTTCTCCCTGTCCATATGGGCATTGAGCATGCTCATGTCCAGCTCAGCAGGGGGTCCATCCACCTCCTGCCCAACAACTACACTAGAGCTGAAACACAAGAAATGCAACGAGTATCTACAGGTGGTCCTCAAGAGGACCGGTCGTTTTAGTGCGCGTCTCATCTTCTTGCGATTGCTTAATCTCGCCTTTCTCCCTGACTGTCACATAGAATTCTTCTTCTCCGCCGTACTTGGCAGTCCTGTGGGATGGCATGGCGCAGTTACAAGACTAATGCATGCAATCAAACATCATTCATGCGTCACTCCTCACCAAAGCTGGGTCAGCTCTGCAGGCTCTGATAGCGCCGTCGATCTTCTTCCTGGGTTGAAAAGGTTCAAGAATCGCAGAAGGATTATTCTATACTCATGGCCTAGATTTAATCGAGTTGCGGGTTCCATTTCAATTCCTTCTGCATATCTTCCCGGCTGTACCACCCAACCTCAGCCATTGCCTTGACCTTCTTCTTGATGGCAGAGATGTGCTCTCGCATCTTCACAAAACGATCCTCGAAAGATACACGTGTAGTGGGGAGATTGGGAACGCTGCTTCCATGGGAGTCTTATTTATACGGGGTACACATGCGAATGGGGTAAAATTCAACAGGGTATACCTATCCATAGGGATTATTATGCCTGAGCAATACCGAGGGTCCCTGTCCCAGCCACAAGCCTCCAACGTAGTCAACATCTCTTCGCGGTCAACGTTGGCCGCCCATTGCTTGTGCAAGTGGGGCGGGACGTTGCATTTGCCATTCTTTTTGACTTCGCACATCCGTCTGAGGCGGGCCATCTTCTTGGCGTGTTCTTGCTTTTTGTCCTTCTCCTTCCCAACAGAGCCACATAGGAATAGCACTTATACGTGAGCCTCTTTTCATTGGGACTATGATGTTACAGAATTATAATGCAAACATTACATTCCGGGGCTGAGCGTGCGCCGCAAGCTTCACAAGCTTTATAGTGTTAGGGGTCCTATAGATTAACAGATCAAACACTAT